ATTCGTTCTGAAAGTTCTTACAGCAACTTCACGATCGCCGTGACGGAAGCAGCCCGCACGGCCTCCCTCCGTGGGGCCGGGGCTCCAGCCGGGGGGCGGGCCTCACTGCCACCGGCGCCTGCTCCCAGGACCCCAGGACCCGGCTCGCCTGCAGACAATGGCCCGGGGCAAGTGACCAACGTGGCAATCAGCAGCACGCCCCGAACGCACCCGCATCCATCTGACTGGACAGCTTAATCCGACGATAACACAAAGGTGACAGAAACAAATTCTTCCGCACGATAAAGAACAGCTCACCTGGGCTTTTCCTGGGACAGCGGCTAAACTCGGTAACTTCTGGAAACACGTCATTCTCTTCTTCACCTGGGCACGGGCACCTCACTCACAGGAGCGGCCGCAGCGCGCGTACGACCCCGGCTGGGAGCCATTGAGGACACGACCCACGTGACCCCACCCGCGCGTGGCCCGTCACTGTGGCCACTGTTCCAACTATGCGACGAGCCCAGGATACTGAGACTTGAGGCTCCCCGCCCAGCGTCTGGCCCTGAGTCAACAGCTCACACATTGAACGTGCCGCCCCCCCACCCACCTGCCACCCATGAAGAAAGTGATTCTAAACCTAGTCGTCACCCACGACCGCACTGTCCTGGCTCAGCCAGGCTCAGCCGCACAGCGCTCCCCACACAGCCTCCAGGGGCCGACCCCATGGCAGCGCACACTGTCCCCTCACTGCATCTGACACCCGCTGGTGACAGGATTCTCCTGTGTGCGGCTGCTCACACCGCTGTCACCACCCCCCGCCCCCTGCCCACCTCACCCAGGGCGCTCCTGTGGGAAGCGCTGATGCTGTGTCCCCCACTCACCGGGCTCTAAGGCCACAGGCTCAGAGGGAACCACGCTCCCTCAGCACGACTCCAACTTTGGGGCGTCCTCTCCAGCCCCCACACATCCCACCCCCAAGCCAACCAAACTGCCAGGTGCCCCCCAGCAGAGACAGACGTGGGTGCGCTGTTTCTCCCGCAATACTGAGGATGCTGCTTGGTTGCCATGCTGCTCATCAAACACACCTGAAAGCACAGGAATGTGCCCATTTTTGCCGCATCTCGCCCCGAAAAGGACTTAACAGTTTCCTGCTTCACCACCACAGAGCGGTGCGGCACAGTGAGCAGTTAAAAGCCCCGCTCCGGTCCCCGTGTGCCCGTGCAAGTCACTCGCCACCCCAGAGCCAGGCTCCGCACCTGCAAAACGAAGATGCTGCCAGAGGGTACGAAAGCCCCTGGCACAGTGAGCCTTTGACAAACGCTGGCAGCGGCAGCACCCGTACCACCACCGGCCAGAGTCTTCTGGAACCTGAGCAGCTCTGCCAGGCTGAACCATGATATGGAGGTAAAGAGAAACCCCCAAATGAGGCCACTCCCGCACCCCACACACAAATGACTGCCAGAGTCTCTAGTTTTGACAAAGCCTCCCTAACAGACCACGTGACCCCTCACTCTGCGGTACGAGCCGTCGCACATGGGAGAATGCTGTCACATTCTGGGGTCACTGCTGGTTCCTGGCCACTGCCACAGTGCCAGATTCCACGTCTGCTCCTTCAGGAAGGTCTTTCAATTTAACGGACGATTAACGTCAAGCCTTCCGGAGACAGTGACTCGGGGCTGTCAGGGACCGGGGGCGCCGGCCGGGAACTCGGATGCTAAGGCTGCCCGCCGGCTCCCGGCCCACACGGCACCAGCTTGCTGTCGGCCTGGAACACCGGAACACCCAAAACACTGCCACCTGATCGGGGAGCACCTTGGGACCGGCCGCTCCCGCAGCTCTCAATAACGTCCACTATGAAAACACAAACAGCCAGCAGAGCAGACCACCTGCTCAGAGACGAAAGGAGTTCTAGAAACACAGCACATTAGCCCTGAGCTACACCATGCCCAGACTGACGGTCGGTGACCGTCCAGAACCACAGACGGGGCGGTGGGGCGCTGCGGCCGAGACCCACCTCCAGTCCCGCCTCCACGAAATGCCCCGTGACTTGGAGCTAATGGTGTCTGCCGTCGCTACCGCACAGGGCTGGTGGCCTGCCGAGCCCGGCGCGAGCCCCTCACGTGGTCCCCTCACGTGGTCCCCTCCCGGCAGCCCATGACAGCTTTAGGAATGGCAGTGTCGTTTCCCTGCTTCTGGAGAAACCAAGGCTCAGAGGGGCTAAGTGACTTTACTCAGGGTCCTTGACAGTAACTAGGGGAGCCGTGTGCAGAATGGAGCAGACCTGTTCCCAGGCCTGCACGCCTGGCCCTGGGCACATCGCCCCAAGTGAGGGCTGGGGACGGGCAAACCCGTAAGACAAGGATGCTGGCTGCGCCGGGAACCGGGCTCCCGCTCAGGCTGGAGAGGAGCGGGGTTCTAGCTGCCCCTAGCCCTCTCCAGTTACGACCCCACGATGATCGTACATGATCATGGACACGGTGATGGCTCCAAATCGACTTTTCTACCAGGCAGTGCCCACACTTCAGAAAGCATTCTTTTTCTATGCCCCGTGCTCACGCACGTCCAGGCAGAGGGACCGTGCGGTCACCAGCACCCAACAGACGCGGCAGCTGCGGGCAGCTCCCCAAGTCGCCCCACATCCCGGGACCCCTCCCGCTGATCGCGCCCTCACAGCTCGGGCGCTCACCCAATGAAAACTCGATTCTTTTCCACAGACATGTCCTCAGCGGCGTACCTGCAAGTCACCCCTCGCCCGAGACCACGGAAATGCTTCCCCCCGAGGCGGAGAAGGCAGCAGGAGGAACGGGGCGCAGCCGGCCGCCCTGAACGTCTGCTCGAAAAGCTCACGCCACGGTTTCCCTAACATCCGCATCTCCTGTCACGACCACAAGACCGAAAACCATAACGCTGTGACAACACGTCAGGTCTGCCATCTGAAGAACTCCTTGTGTCCCCAAGGAGTCACGAAACCACACACAGATCCACGGGCAGAGGTGGCCGAGAAGGGACACTCGGAGCTGGTCCAGGCTGGACAGCGCCGCTTCGCAGCCGCACTGAAGACGTCCCCAGAGGTGCCCACCCAGGAGGGTCCCCTGGGGAGCTCGCGAAGATGCGGGTCCCCAGGTTCTGATCCAGCAGGTCTGGCAATAATCCGCGTCTTTGAGCAGCACCCCTGGTCATCGACACCAGCAGGGCTGGGACACTGTCCGGCACTGTTCATGGATCCTGAGGACAGCGACGGGTCCCGCATCCCAGGAGAGGCCACCACAGAGGGGCAGAAACCGAAGGTGACGTGCGTGGTCCCTACTTCTAGTCCTTTTGATCGGAGAGTAAACTGTAGCTGAAAGTTTTGTAAAAAATGAGAAATAACTACCATTTACTTATTAAATTTTGACATTTCAACATCCCATCCTGTTTTTCACCCTGAGACTCAATTCCCTCTCCGCACCCATCTAGATTCCTCTGAATGTCCGGACCTGGAATTGCCTGATCTGTCAATAAGGTAAGAGTTTTCTAAACTACTATCCATATGACTCAATTTGTCAGTAAAAACTGCCACCAGCGCTGTGCCTGCAGAAAAATGTCCATAAATGCATCCTTGCGACCCGCAGATGGATGTTTATAATAAAAACAAATAGATTTACCAAGTGCCTGCTTTCACCAGCGGGGCTGCTGGCGGACGGTGCACTCAGGGTCACCCCCAGGCTTCTGGGGATGGGCACTGGAGCTCGGGCGGCATACTCTGCTGACTTACGAGTGCCACGGGAAAGAAACTAACCAGGAAACTTCTGAAGCAGCGGAGTGAGCGTGCAAGGTGTTCAGATTGTGACAGTTCCTTTCGTGGCTACACACATGCACACACACGCACACACACCAAATTTAACAACTGTAAGAAAACATGTTTGTGGAATTTCTAACTGGTTTTATTGCAGCTGCATCACAAGCTGAATGAGTTTACTCCAGGTGGGAGGGAAGGGGACACGAGGGGATCCCCTCACTTCTCTGCTGAGCCCCAATCTAACCGAAAATCGCTTGTGCTATCAAAAACAAGTCTCAGTGTTCAACACGTGGCCAAGGACACCGCTGCTCTGTCGCTGCTGTCAGGGCCCCCGGAGCGGCCTTCTCTCAGTCGGGGGCGGGGGGCGGGTAGGGGAGGGCTGCCGCAGGCCAGCTGAACTGCCAGGGGTTCTGGGCACCGTGGAAAGACACTGTCTGGGGCAGGTGTACACGTGAGCTACACCTGCCAAGAGCACTCCGATTCCTTCGGGGGTTACAAAAGGTCACAGAAACGATGTATGTCTCTCCCTAGGCAGTACATTCTTGCAACTATAAAACAAGCGAGTTACTCACTGGACTTCACATACCCATCGCATGCTTTGCCCCGAGCCCTGTGGCCCTCCTGTGTAAGCTTCACTACTTCTAATGGTTCTGAATCAAAGAAAACTAAACAACTTCCCTCCACTGACCGGCGGATGTGTGGTAGTCACCCGAAGGCCACAGAATACACGCCCTGCAGGATTCTGTCTACGACACTGGGTCTCGAACATCCACCTACCTGCACCCAAGGCAGGCCTCCGGGGCTAACAGAATGGGGATCCTGACCGCGGCCAAGGGAAAACAAGCCCTCGCTCCCAAGGCCCTCCCGCACCCAGACAAATCACACGCGCTCGCTTCAAATCAGGAATGGGCGTCGGCTAGCTCACTTGTCACAGTGCACGTGAGAAGCTGGCACGCAGCCCACTCCCGCCCGATGCTAACGCTGGTTTTATGTGTCTGATTTTAAAGTCTTCATGTCGTTTTTAAATAACATTCTGTGATAAGAGCCAAGCTTTCAGGAAGCAGCGGAAGGAGAGGCTGACCCCCAGGGAACGGAGGGGGTCCAGCAGCCCAACGCGCTCGGGGCCTTCCAGACAGGGGCCCACCGCCCGCACCGGGGGCCCAGACACGACAGGAAGTGGACCCAGGAGACAACTCTCCACTGCGGCAAGGGCGCCGGGCGGGTCAGAGTGAACACGAACCTGACGGTGATGTTGACCGGTGACCACGGGAAAAGCAGTTCAGAAAATCCCGTTCTGCTTCCTTTTTTCTACCAAGGAGAGCAGAGCGTCAACTGAAGGGGCCGATGGCCACGAAAGGGAACTGGACCAGAACAGTCGCTTAGGAACCACTGCCGTCCAGTGTCCTCTGCGAAATAAGAAAAATAAAGACAATTCTGTGAGTTTATTTGATTAAAAATCACTAAGAAGAGTAAGCTGTTTGGGTTCCCGAGAGGAAGAGACGCGTTCCTCCACAGGCCCCGCCTCCCGTCCTGCCCCGTGGCAGGACAGCCACGGGGACAGGGGCCACGGGAACAGGGGCCACGGGGACAGAGGCCTGAGTGGCAGACAAGGCCCAGGTGAGGCTCGACCGATAGGCGAGCGGGACGGAAACACAGAGCACAGGACGCCTAAGCCTCTCGGCCGCGGAGCGAGTGGGTGACCAGAGCAGCCATGCCGAGGGTGGGCTCTGCGCTGGGGAGCCTCTGAAAACAGCCTAACTGCCGAATCTAGCTCTTGGAAGACAGACCTTTTTAAACGAGGGCGTTCGCGTAGAAAAGTGGCTGAGGCCTGGCGCACCCAGCCCCCAGACTGCCCAGGAAGCACGGGAACCCGGCCAGGCCCAGGCCGCCCTTCTCTGCCACTTGCAGAATCCGGGCCTTAGCGAGTGTGGGCTTCGCGTGACCGCCTTCCCCGGTCACGTGCCTGAGCCAACCCCGCATGAACTACTAGCGCGGAGCCGGATGTACACCGTTTTCCTCAAAACGTTTTACGCCCACTGGGTGACAGCTTTCCGTTTGGTGTCCTTTTCACCTCCCTGGGTGTTTTATCCACTAAGGATTCATAAAAGCAACAAAAGCATCTCCTAACCCGCTGGTGTGAGGCAGAGGGGCGAAGGGGAAGACCTGGCTGCGGGGCCGTGTGGCCTCACCTGGAAATGATCAGGTCAGTCCTCAGTTTGTCGTGTCCAACGACTTCACCGTCTGCCTGTAACACCTGTGACCCTCTGTGGACAAAGCAACTTCCCTTCATCTGATGACCATCCCTCCAACCAAGCAACGTGGTGCTCATAATGTGCTTGCAGGACGGAAAGCCCAGAGCTGAGCTCAGCACTGAGAGCAACACATCTGGGGTTCAGAAAGCGATGAACCCCGGGAGGTAGGGTATGTGGTTTGGACCTGCTCCCCGGTGTCATCAGGACTTGGGAACTGCCGGGCCAGGTGCAAATGGCTGTGAAACTCTACCTGTTTACCCCAAGTGTCCACGGAGGCAATCAGAGGGCAGTGTATACAAACACCAGCCAGGAACGTGAGGACCCCTGAACCCCGGCCTCCTCCTCATCTGCCTAAGCAAGAAGGAAAAGTGGGATTCTGCACAAGGAGTGTGCTGAAGGCTTGCTGCAAGGAAGGGCCGGAGTAGGGGCTTCTGGAAGCTTTCTGGGAACTGCAGGCTGAGCAGAGGATGCTGGGCGCTGGTCAGCAGTGAGGTGAGAGGGTGGGCAGTGATAACTTTGAAGGTGGTGTCCACTTGGAGGTGGGGCGCGCGCAAGCCATGTCCCCACACCAGCCCACTGTCCCTGCAGTGCAACTTGGTCCAGGAACTGCCGGCGTGTAGTAAGGCAGGTCGCAAGTGGGCACACCTGGGCGTAAATGGACACACCTGGGGCCCGTGCGGAGTGGGAGGGTGGCTGGGTGCGGGCTCCACGACATTGAGAGGAGGGCGGCCGCGGGACCACCTGGGGCTGAACTGTCCCACGGGCTCCAGACACCCGCTCTCCCCAGGGAGAGCCCCTGAACTTTGGCAAGAGGGGGGCAACCCACACACTCACCGCGTCGCCCAAGGCGCCGACCGCGCGCAGCTGAGCTCAGAGGAGCGGAGGGGGTGGGGAGCGCGGAACTCGGCGCAGGAACATGTCCCGGGCACGTCCGGGGCGCGGGGGCG